ACAAGTGTAATTTAATTTGGGAGATTGATGACTGCTGTGTAGACAAGCCGCAAGCAAATGTTTCCACTGTCTTATGAGTTCTCCTAAGTAGTTTTATGAGTGCATGTGTTTGCATAAGTTAATAGACTTATAGAATGAATGAGAAAATGTTTGTCTTTCTCTGTTCAAAAATACAAATGAAGTAACACTGTTGTGAATTGAAGAGAACCACCCAATTATTGTGATTACATTTATCAAATATATACATGTATGTCAATTTTACATACGTGCATCTTGACATCTTGAAGGGTTTAAAGCATGCACATATAAGTGGCTGGTAATGTTTATTGCGAAGCGCAATTTTGAGGAAGTCAAATTCAGTGTTAAGTTGACACATCGGTCATTGTGCTAGCAGAACACTGATATTCATGGTGTTATATTGCTATTTTGTATTACAATGGGTAGAAATCTTTAAATTGCAGTTGTGGAATTCTTTACAATGTACTTTGACAATACAGTAAAGAAATAATTGCTATAACTGTATAATAAGATTCTTTTAAATATGATTATATTCTATTTCCCTTTGCTCAGCCGAATAGGAAACATTATTTTCTATTATAAGTAGAGGAGACAAGTAATACAACAAATAGTGGAGGGAGCTGCCAGCAATGATCGAGTTTATTTACAAGAATCTGAGACACGCTGAATACAGGTTACGAGCCAGAGAATATAAGAAAATGTCACACCTTATTATTTTTAAGACATGATATAAACAATAAAGAAAAAAACAGCCTCAAGTAAACTGGTCGGCGTCAAGTGGTGTGATATTCACAAGGAGAGGTATATAAAGGCCTCATTATCCCAGTGGGAACTAATACAAAGCATCTTAATTAAACACCTAAATCAAATACATTATTTTATTTTCAGTGTATGTTTTCCAAAACTTATGATTGAAGGGTAAATGCAGGCCTGGTCCTACATGTTTGTCAGGCCTCTGGGAATGTTAAAGACTGAGTTATAGCATGTTGTGAGATGGAGCTGGTAGGGATAAATTATTACCAGAATCTAAATTATTTATTAATACGTACTTGTAATTTTGATCATTTATTTGGTAGTGAATGATGGCAGTGGAAAATTACCAGCTTACAGAGGACTTGCTGATGCTGTAAAATCCATTGTGAGATCAAATGGTATCAAGGGGTTATATCAGGTACAGTCATATTATAAATAAAAAAGTCTCCATTTGACACAAACATATGCTTGGATAATTGTCCTCAGACTGTTCTAAGAAGCGCACAGTGAAAACTGTGAGCTTTTAGGACCAGATTCACATGTATTATGCCTCAAATATTTTTTGCAACAGACATAGTTTTGAAAATTGGGGAATAACACTCAGGTATCAGGTATCATGTGACGCATTTAGACCAATCATGCATGAGCAGAATATTTGATTGATTATAATGGTAAATGAATGTATAAGCATGAATTCTTAAACAAACAAAAGATGCCAATTTTGAAGTCACTAAAATTTAAGGTTCAAATGTAATTTGTGTAATGTCAAATCTGGTGTACAGTGGGGTACTTGGTAACATCTTGACTCCTGTTGTGCAACAAGTGGGTATTAAGTAAATCCTCGTCTCAATGGATAGCGCAGCTTGCTTTGCCATATCTTATTTACTGAAAAGCAGTTTATTCTCCCACAGAGCTGTCCTCTCTTTGAGAAACTAGACCCAGGAGGGTACATGTACATGTATGTACATACTACTTGTGATAAAGTGGTATCAATGCATCCTTTACTCGTTTTAACCTGGGGGAAGGGGCAGGGGAGGGGG